GCAAAACACATTGGGAATTTATGGAGCGATTTTAAGCTGCAGGTTGCTAAGCAAAAAATCAAAATTGCTGAAAAACTTTGAACTAGAATCGAATGCCAAGCAGTTTTGAAAAATTGTGGACACACTACAAAGTATTAACTAATAACGGAATTCTGTAATCAGTCTAGAGTCTCTATTTGAGACATTTTGTGGTAAAATCTCAATTTGTGACTAGTTACTATTCACTAAATAGTCTCTAGCTTTAGTCTCAAAATATTGCCTCAAATTTGAGACCTGGTAGTTAGCAAGTCACAAAACCAAAAAGAACTCGTGTCTGCCATTTCGAATATACTGAATAGAGATCATCATAGATATTAATCGATTGCATATTTTGTAAGCAACTCAAACACGAAAAGGTTAAAAATAAATAAATTTTACATAAATTACGTTAATATTATGAAACAAAGTGAACATATATTTATGTTTTTACTGATAATTATRTTTTTTGACTATGTTATAGAAAATTTAATATTTGTTATCGACATATTTATTTCCATTCAAGTATAAAAACATCTCTGAATAATGAAATGTAATAGAGTTTGTGACTATCACTTACAGAATAGCAAAATCGTCTCAAGTCTCAAAAATTGTCTCTGTCAAATTTAGAGACTTGATACTGTATCACAGTTCAGAATCGCATGGTAAATTAAATTAAATTTTCGTAATTTCTACAGAAGCGGGCTACTGTGCTATTTCTATGTCCAGACCAAAATACACAATTGGAACTTGAATAATTGAAAAGAACTATTAAAAACATATTTTTAACTTACTTCTGCCTTAATTTATGTATATTAATAATAAAAATCGTTTGTGTTCCCTGTCCATCACTGTACATAAAAATTGCGAATTCGTTTGGAAAACATTTAATATATTTATTTTTTGTAAAATGTAATTGAAGATAAATTAAATCTAAAAAATTACTTATAGATCACTATGGCTAAGTATATATGTATGTATTAATTTGGAAAAAGTAGCAATATCGGCTAGTGCTCCAAATGTAATCTCTTATGCAATAACACATACATTTAGTACGATATACATTCTTTATTTTTACTACTTATCAAACTAGTTGAAAACTTTTAATTTAGAATTTAGCTATGCATTCACATGGACATACCTATAGTTTAAAGCATTTTCACTAATGTGCTTAGTTAAAAATATATATATATGTACAGTACATATGTATGATATTATATATGATACTTGATAAAGGTCGGTTTTTTCTCTGACTTATATCAGACCCAAACACACATCTATAGATATACATATGTATGTATGTATGTAAGTATAGTACACAAATGTGACGAATTAAAAGCATAGAATAAATTTGATTGCCATTCTAATTTCAATACTAAATTTAAGTTTTAAATTAAATACATTACAGATACATATCGATAGTGATTTTTGTTACAAAAAAATGTTTTATTTGTATTGTTTTAATTTTTGTTCGTTGTTTAAATTATTACAAATTTTATTTTGTGGTATTAATTCAAATACATAACTGTGCCATTTCTCGTTTGTTGTTTAAAGAATATGTGTGTTTAGCATATAAGTGGACGGGCAAGAGCTAGAGAAATCGCAAGAGAGCTCGACATCTCTCGCGAGTTCGTTCGAATGATTTTGGTAGATATTTTGGGTATGAAATGCCTTCTAGCTCGACTCGTTCTGATAAATGAGGTTTTGGTCATGAGTTTGACAAGCAATCAAATAAAAAATCATCGACATGGAACCCGTTTTCAGTCGATCGAAGAGATAAAACAAAATTCGTTGAAGGCCATCGCAAAAAGTGCTTATGAATTATGAAGAGTTTTGAGGGCTGGAAAAATCATTGCCATAAGTGTACAATATTACTTCTTGTAAGGGTTACATTGAAGGCGACAAAATAAATGTTGATGAATAATTAAAAAGTGTGCATTTTATTTATAATTTCCGGATACTTATTTGTCATGATATATTTTTTACCATCGGACCTTCGGACGTCAAGAAAAAAATGGCTTACCCACTTTAAAGAAAGTAGATATTTTATCGTTAGAGTTTTTTTCCGATATCACGTCAAAATAAAGGTGAAAGAATAAATAATTTAAACCAAAACAATGTCTTTGGATCATAAAAGTGTAAGTTCGCCCCTTTTTTCAACTTGGTTATCTAAATTTTTCACATAAATTCAAAGCTATGTGGAAAGGTATTGAAACGAAAGTTGTAGCTCTGTTTCTTAACTAAAATTTTGCCTTATACATTTTTTTAAGGGACTCGTAATTTTGCCGAAACTCGAGATAACCCTTAAAAATTCAATTTAGATCGCCCGTAAATTATTTTTCCTCAATTTTTGTTACTTTATAATTTAGAATTTTTTTAAACTAAAGCAAGTTTCTCATGGTTACTCTTTGTTACATTTTCTCACAAATTAAATATCTTCAGTAAATTCATTTGTTTTTGCAAATTTACATATCACCTCAAATCCAAATAAACGTAACATCGTAAAACGTATTAGAAGCTATACACATTGAAACAAAATTTTGAGTTTTGGTTATAAAGTGGTTATATATTGGTTATATCTGATAGCGGAAGCTTACAATTTTATTCATACACATATACTCGTATAATAAGATATAGTAAAATGTAAGCAAGAAAAAGATCAAGTTTTTGTTTTTGATGATACGTTGTTTTGTATTTTAGGTGACGATATGTTTGGATTTTGTGCTAAAGTGAACTAATGAATTGTGTTTAAATCTCAAGACTGTCCCTGAACTATTTTTAATAAATTCGATTATTAAGAAAAGTTTATATAAATTCGAAAACATATACTAAACCACTTTACAAACAAGGAAAATGTTTCTCTAATTGTTATAACTGTGAAATAGAATTTTTTATATGGTGTTTTTATTTCTGTTTGTTTGTCATTAATTCCTTTGTTTTTATTTTATTTTTTACATTCTTATATTCATATATGTACAAATCTTATTTCCAGGGGATTATGAAATAGTTTTATTTATAAACTCTGCCATTTTTTGGCAACAAAATTATTGTATTTAATAATTTAATTGATTAATAATTAACCTGTCAGATATATTATTTTTGATTCGTAAGGGCAGACACTAATCTCCATTGAATTTTAAATACTGGCATATTGTTCTATAATACATAAATGCGTTAAAAAGGAGGTTTAAATTGAGTGACTCTCATTAGACGGATTTAAAATATTATTGGAAAAGAATACTATGTACAAATAAAGAATGCTTTTTTGAGACTTTTGGTTTTCAAAAAGAAAGCTTTAAATAAAGACAAGAATCGAGCGTCAAAGATCGACCCAATTTTCGACCACTTTTTGCAGTCTTTTTGAAGTCAATCGTCTCGTCCCCACAAAAAATAGTTCAGTGGTGTTGAATCGCAGCATCTTAAAGTCCACGCCACGGGGCCACTAGGCGAGGTAATGCGCTCACCAAAAGTTTACTTTAACGTGTTATAATTCAGGCTCTATAGCGTCCCCCATTGATTGTAACCATTTGGGCGGCTTAAATTTTGAAGAAATGTGGTCCAGTGATTACCTTTGCCTATAGAGTGATTTTTTGTGAAAGTAACGGCGTCTCAAAAATGGCTTGTGAATTATAACCACTCCAAATGCAATTTTTTTTATTAATGTACCTATTCAAGCAAAAGTTTTGAGCCTATTCACTGAAAATGTGACGAGCTTGATGGGTTTTCGGCTTCAGTTGTTCCACGAGTTACATTTTTCCAACAAACCAAAATTTTCCCGAAAATCGTCCATAAAGTAAATGAGCACAACTCTAATTGTTGCACGTGATGACGGTTGGAGTCAATCGGGCCTTATTCGATACTCTACAGCAGCAATACGCTTTATCCACTTGAGTACGCGTGGTGCCAAATCGATCTCTGGAACTGAGAGGTATTTATTTTGGTAATAAATTTGTATTTTTAAACGTTTAAAACGAATGGCAAATCAAACTGAGTATAAATCAAGTAACAGCTGTCACAAGGACCAACTTCGAAAAAAGTAATGGGTCGTTGAAAACGACACTGTTAAAAAACATCCGTTGTAATTAGCGTTGAAAGTTTTTTGAATTTTGTGCTTTTTGAACATGACAACAATGCAGCGTCCCTCAATATTTAAACCAGTGATAAAGGGATGCCCAATTATTCCAGGCGCCTTAAAAGTAACGTTTTTTTTACACATTTTGAATTGTAGGAAAATCAGAAAAAATACTTGTTTTTGAATATTTAAATTATTATTAATTAATTTTTATCCATTTTATATATGGAGAAAGTATTAAAATTTTTTTTTGTATGATTTCATGGTAGATTAAAACAACTTAACAACAACAACGAGTGATTTAACCTTGCAGCCCTCATTTAATATTTCAAGGCTCAGGAGCTGATTTACGCTCTCACTTCCAATGACATGAGATTTGGGTATCACTTTATTTCTCGTTTAAACCATTTACATGAGGCATTTTATTAGGGAAAGGTAAAAACGCAAGTGTTTAACTCTTCTTGTCTTGAGACGATAACTTCACCAAAGACTTAAAGTTAGACATTCAGCCAATCTAAATAAAAGTTCTGTTATATAAAACCTTAACGAATAATTCTTATTATAACTGGCGGGTATATGTACATATGTGAGGAAAATACCTTCAAAACTCTTTTTAAAAACAAACTACAGTTAATTCGTATTTCAAGGAATATTTATGCATATGTATCTRTACATACATACATATATACATAAGTATGTGTCAGAATTGTAATTATTAACAAATAGTTTATTTATAACTGCATATGCATATACATTACGAATTAATAATAAAAATAACGGCTTAATCGATATTAATAAAACTAAAATTACGCTCGATGAACTAATATTTTCTTTACTTTACTTAAACTTATACTTTATTTCGTTTAAAACGTTTTTCTTGTTGTGTTTAATAAAATAAAGCAAACCCGGCCTATCATTTCTTGTCACTATCAATTTTGTTTTTGTCCAGCGAGGAGGACACCATGCCGCCACTATTTGAAGGATATAATTTATCTAAATAGTTGAGTGATTCATTGAGAAAAGTCTGAAATGGAAGGATAGTACCATTAGTATGCTGTCATCAATCATTTATATTTTTAACGAAGTAGAAAACCGTTACCTGAAAAGCATGCAGTACGGCCATTATAGCAGGAGATCCGAACCCATGAGTAATTAAAGAGAAGTGTGTGAGGTGACGCTGCATAGAAGGTTCTAGTAAATGTTGTGATCTCGTGCCGTATTGTGTCGTGCGGTCTTGGCTAAGTACTTGCATTAGTTCCTTTGTTATCTGAATACATTACACAAAATTAAAATATTTATGTAGTACTTATAAGAATATATTTAAAAAATTTAACTCCGTAAATGGCGGTAAACAAAAACAAGAAAAAAGCTATAATATCCATTACAGGTGCATTTCTTATAGCCTTAAAGTAGAAGCCCAGAGGTTATCTAGTGACTGATGCCCAGAGCATACTGAAATTATGGAGGGAACACTTCTCCTGTCTGCTGAATAGCAGTGAAACCATAACACCAGGAGATGGTTCCCCAATCAATAACGATGGAGCTCTATTGCCCGAGCATAAGAAAGTTCGAATAGCAATTATCCATCTGAAGAATAACAAAGCGGCGAGGGCGATGGATAACCAGCCGAGATATTCAAATACGATTGCGAACGACTCCCTTATCAGGAGCATGCATCAGCTCCTTTGTAGAATATGGTTGGACGAAAGCATCCCCAACGATTGGAGTTTAGGTGTGCTCTACTATGTGATAAGCCTCCTTAATATTACATATTTCTTTTCGGTTCTGTTGAGCATACTATGTGAAAGATTAAAGCCAATCGTCAAAAAACTGGTTGGACCTTATCGGTCTAGCTTCAGGTTTGGAAAATCAGCAACTGACCACAGATTCACCATGCGTCAAAAGACCAATGAAAAGAGAATTGACTCGCCCCACCTCTTCGTCGATTTCAAAGCTGCTTTTGACAGCCGAAAAGGAGCTGCCTTTACGCCGCGATGTCTGAATTTGGTATCCCCGCAAAACTAATACGACTGTATAAACTGACGTTGAGGAATACCAAAAGCTCCGTAAAAATGGTGAAGGTCCTCTCCACAATGGCGTATTTGATACCAAACGAGGTTTTAGATAAGGGGACTTCCTATCCTGCTTTGTCAATATACTCCAAGAGGAAATAGTTCGACTCGACTTCTGAATAGAAAAGGTATAATTTCCTAATAGAGTATACAACTGCTGGCGTACGCCGATGACATCGATAGAGATTGGCCATAACAACTATGCAGTTAGTTCTGCTTTTTCCAGGTTGGACAAAGAAGCGAAGCAAATGGGTTTGGTAGTGACCAGGTTACACTTGGAATCTCCAATTGGGAAAAAATGTGGGACTACTTAGCGTATAACAGACATATGGTCGTGGCTAAAGTACATATGTACTCATGTTTGTGTATATTTTGGGTGTTACAAGCTTAGTGACAAACGGTAAAATAGCTATGGCTTATAAAAATACTACCAGAACTGAATTATGGTCAAAAGGAACTAATTGTGAGATTTCTTCTTATTATTATATACACATACATATGTTTATTAAAAATAAAATGTGTCAATATATAATTTCTCTAATTGATTTTAAATATATAATTTTATATGAAGGTCATAACAATTCATGCACTCATGTTAAAATAGATGGTTTCGGAAAACCACTATTTAATTTGCTCGGGCAGTAGGAGATACACTAATCTAACTATATGGCGCATTTTAGCCTAGGCGATTCCACTTTATTTTTATTTTTAAAAATTAAGAAAATGAAAAATTGCATACATTATTTCAAGGTGTAGTTTTACCTGCTGTGAATGAATAAGTAGTTCTTTCCTGCGATATGATTCTTGGGGTTCTGTTTGATGTCTAATGACATATTCGGCTAGCTGACGAGCTGGAAATTCAGTTTCACAAACGAAATGAAAATCTTTTGCCAGATGAGTAGCTTCGCCCTCTACTAAGGACGTGAGTAAAGTGACATTGGCAGCCTTTCGTCTTCCCGCAGGTAAATTTAAACCAATTTTTTCAAGCTTTTCCCTTAGTAGGCGTCCACCGTTCTTGCTCTTAGCTCTATAAGAGTAAAAATATAATAATATAAATAAGTGAGGAATGTTAATATTCAACCGAAATTGTTTTTATTCTCTCATTTTGTAAGTATAGAAGGAAATATTTTCCTTGGCAAAACTTTATATGGAAAAATGTTGCATGTAAATGTAAAATTCGATATATTTCTTTAACTCACCTAATATCACTAAGTTTCGTTATTAAAATTCGTTATGCGTCCGAGATATGGATCAACCTAACTAACACATATCACTTTATTCATCTACATATAATATTAAAATGATGCGCAAAAAGTGTTGCTAAGCTCATAACTCAACAACGCCTGGACCAATTTGGAATATTTTTTTTTAGATTCGTTGAAGTTCAAAGATTTTTCTTACGGTGAGAAAAATTGAAATATTCGCCGGAAAACCCTTAAAACCAGTCCTTTTCTTAAGGCTCTAGATCTTGATGAGATTTGCAGAGGTTGTTCGTTGTGAATCGGGGGRGCTTTAGAAATAAAAAACCTTATAATTTTCATGAGGAAAAGGCGAAAACTTGGGTAATTCCAAAAAGTAACTTTTTTCTATAAAATTATTTTTTGGTTTTGTTTTTCAATATTTTGATTTGTAAATTATTTGAATCGTGCAATTTCGGTCGCTTGTTTTTTATTCCGGCTATTCAAAAGAAAAATTATTGACACAAAGTGATCAATTACAGATTGAAATTTGTTACGAGGCCACGAAGAGGTTGCGCTAACCTCGGTCGGGGTTTTTTTTTGCGAGCAACGTATGACAGCCCAAGGCAAGGYAAGGCAAGAAGCACTCCCAGGTTGCGATGATATACATGCGTGCGGAATTATGGATCGCGGTCAATCAACAATCGATCATCACGATGTCATAGCACAACTTTTCAAACAACAGTTACGATGTTGGATGGTGCTGTTGGATGCTAGATGTACTCTGTTGAGTGGCAAAAGAGAGGTTTGCCGCACGTACGCATTCTTCTTTGGATGGTGATTACACAAGATCAAATTGATGAAATCATTTCTGTGGAAATTCTTGATGCAGAGAAAGATCCAGTATTATACAAAGTGATGAAAACCAATATGGTTCATGGACCTTGAGGACACCACAATCCGACTTCGGTTTGTATGTCTGACAATAAATGCATGAAACACTATCCACGTGGTTTTTGTACGGAAACGCAAACTGGAAATGATGGAAACCCCTCTATCGGTATAGCTCATCAGACGACAATGGTAGAACATTTAACATTCAACTTAGAGGAGTGAATATCGTTAATATAATAACACATGGATCTTGCCATATTCGCCCCTGTTGTCTAATTCACATTCAACATTCTTGTCAATGTTGAATATTGCAGTGAAATCAATCAAATACATCACCAAAGAAAGCAACATGGCGTTTATTGGCCTTGGACGAGATGAGATCAGCAAGTGTCAAACTGCAATAAAGCGCTTTGTAGGATATTTACTTTTGCAATTCATAAACGTTTTCCGACTGTTTTGCGTCTCGCAGTTCATTTGGAGAATGGCCGGAGAGTTTATTTCAACCCAGGGAATACATTACGGAATGTGGAAACAACATGCTGCTGGCAATAAAGTTGATATTGACGAGTTTTTTTTCAACTTTCGTCAGTGATTCGTTGCGAGGACATTACTCTATTCGAAAATGCCTTGATATTACACATGGAATGCATCTTCGATGAAATAGTTACGCAGAAAAAAGGGCAACAAGTAGATTGACATCCAGGTGTGTTCTCAACTAATACCTTGGGACGAATTTACAAAATTCACCCAAAAAATGACGATTGCTTCTACCTTCGGTTGCTATTGATAAATGTACGTTGATTTCATGTGTGTCATTGCGTACTGTGAATGGTACGGTCTGTGATACTTTTTGCGAAGCAAGCCAGCAATTACATTTGCTGGAACATGATAACCACTGGAATCACACGATGCGATAGCTACTTCGCATACCACTGAAGTTTGTACATTTTTCGCGATGATTATTTCGACATATCAGCCTTCAAATCCGCGTAGTTATGGGACATGATAAAAAATGTCATTGCCAAATACATTTTACATCGTATTCGCTAAGAATTGGAAATGGGCAAATTCCGGTTGATATTTCCAGTAGTTTGATATCAATTGCACCTGCCTTTTGACAATTCACTTCAATGAAATATGAACTCATCACGAATATTTTTACCAACATTGGCTAAATTATCGTAACTACGATTGCTTGAGTGCACGCGCAATTTTAGCTGCCAAATCCAGCAATTTCTCCATTTCCAGTGCAATTTCTAAAATCTTTCACGAGGCTTGGTATGCCGCCGCATTATTTGCGTCTCAAAGGATCTGTCATTATTATGTTTCGCAATCTTCATGCGCCGAAATTTTGTAATGGAACCCTACTGATCCCTTTGAGTTCCAACGATTTGCAATTTCAGTTCGAGTATATCAGAGTATTCAGTTTCCAGTGAAAATTGCATTTGCGATGACAGTCAACAGTACACAACGATAGTCGCTAGAAGTGTGTGGCATAAATCTGGAAATGCCATGTTTTTCACATGGCCAGCTATACGTGGCATGCTCACGAGTTGGAAAACCATCTTCTTTGTATATTTAAATTTGGTTTGTCAGGCTGCGTTACATTTAAAAAAATTTAGTAAAATCGAAAATAAATGATTGATTGCCGTTTCTTTTAAGTCGTTCGTGAGTTATAGCGTCGCAAACATGGAGCAAAATAAAGAGAAAATACGGCATATTTTACAGTACTACTACGATAAAGGCAAAATCCGGAAGGCCTGTCGTCGAAAATTGCGATAAAATCGCTGAATTGGTCGAAAGAGACCGGCATAGTAGCAGCCAATCGGTCAAGAGCTGGGTATGAGTCATCAAAAAAAATTTTATGAACAATTGAAAATTCAATAAATATACCGCAAGAAATACCGCAGGACTATTTTGACATCCTAATATAATATAAATCTATTATTTTTTAAATAGATGGCTTTAGTAATCTACAGCTGTCTTCGTCAAGAGTTACTCCCCGGCAATTCGAGCAACTTGTACCACTTCCTCAAACAAAAGGCAGCAGTTAGAACGAATTCTTTTATTGTGATAAAAAAAAAAGTTGCAGAACCATTTATTTTCGTGCTTTTTTTTTAATTATAATAATTGATTTTAAGCCATAAGATAAAAGTAATTTGTATTTTCATTTGTTATTTAATCGTTCACAAAAGTAAAACTGATCCAAAATATTCAAAGCCAAACTTGGTAGCATTGAAGATAGTGGTATCCCACTTTAATGAGATATCCGCCTACTCTCTTGTACGAATTCAACGAAATACGAAAGATACGCAAATAAAAAGTAAGTCAAGCGGCTGAAAATGTAAATATGGAGGAATCAATCGCTACTCTGGTTTCAGTGATTCCGTTCCAGTAATCCTCTGATATGTAAATTGCCTAAAATATCGATAAATCAACAGAAATCATCAATGTTGGCGGTCGTTTGGGAATCGCTGCTGAATGTCAACAAAGCCGATTCATTCTGAAGTGGGTGGCAAATGGTCTCTTACTACAACCTCAAGCAAACGCGGGCGTGAGTCGGCGCATATGGTGATCAAGCCAAAATTAAATGTCAGGATTGACTTGGAATCACCTCCTATGAGCTCCTCCCCTACGGCAAAACTCTTCATTCGCGTCAGCACTGTCAATAATTCGACCATCTGAAGGAAGCAATCGGCCAACTTTAGGAATAGCAGAGGATCTGTGTGCCATCAGGACAACGCCAAGCCAAACATATAGATAGTAACTCTCCAGAAATTGCGGGAACTTGGTTGGTATGTTTTTATGCATCTATCTTATGGTTAAGACCTAGCAACCAGTTTTATCTATCTGGTCCTATACATGGCGATTGATTTACTGGTTTGCTTATGCAAAACCTACTGACTCAGCTGTTTGCCAATAGGGACGACGATTTTTATGAAAGCAGCATTATGAAATTATCTTCAAAATGGCAACAATGTTCTAACAGAACGGTGCACATTTCTTCTATGTCGCATAATTTTAACTAAGCCATCAATGATATGCTTTATTCCTGCGTTAGAACATTCGTACATTCTCTATGAGTCACCATTGCATCCCGAAAAAATTACAGTTTTGTGCGGTTTATGGGCCAGCGGCGTCTTTGGGCCGTACTTCTTCCGTTATGATCAAGACCGGGGCGTTACTGTAAATGGGACTCGCTATCGCTTTATGATAACCGAATATTTTTGGCCAAAATTGGATGGTGTGGACTGGGACAACATGTGGTTCCAACATAACGGCGTCACAAGTCACACAGCGAATGTCACAATCGATTTATTGAAAATCACGTTTGATGAGCAGCCTCGTTCGTGCGATTTGACGCCGTTAAATTTTTTTGTGTGGCTACGTCAAGTCTATGGTCTATGCTAACAAGCCAGCGACGATTGATAAACTTCGTACGAATATTGAATGTGAAATTGCAGCAGTATCGGCCGATTTATGTTTGAAACCGTCGAAAATTGGGTTCAGCGTCGGTGGTGGCCATGCAAAAGAAGAAGAATATTCAGATCTAAGCTGCATTATGATTAAAAAAACATACTCACTAAATATTCGATGTAAATTCTACAAACAGTCGGAAATCACTATATTACATTTATACCCAATAATTTGCAGTCAGATTTCATTCTAAACTATAGTATATCATACATCTTATTATTGTATATGTAATGGGTCTTGAAAAGTATATTTCGATAATTTTAATTTTCAATATCTTCCCTGGTCCCTGATATTAATATTTAACAGTGAACTAAATCTGATGGAATTTGTGGTTGTAGTCCGACAAAGATATTATTAAGCACCAAATTTAATACAAATTAGCGGAGTAGTTGCTAAAATAAGTTATTTTACCTAAAAGGAGGCAATGTCATGCATGTTGTTCGGAAATCAATTCGTCTTCATGAACATTTTTTAGAAACCCTCTTATTATATTGACTCTTTACGATTTACAAAAAACCTTTACATGAAGAAAACTTTTAGCAACATCTTTCGAGAACATAACAAATTAAGATATAGGTGAGTATATAAGAAAATATTTATGCTACCAACCTTCGGAGAACTCCGCCAAGTAGAGACGCGTTTAGACATTCTGGAGGTGATAACCTTCGTTGAACTTCAGCAATTGTTACTTTGTATTTGGAAGTGCTGGATAGAAGGCTAAGTCGTCCCGGAACAGCACAAAATACCTCACTGGGGGAACCAGAGCCAATATTACCAAGCTCTTTCCCACTTTTAATACCTTTAATGAGATATAAAGAGAAAGTTTATTTAACATAATGACATTTTGATGAACTCATAATAAATCATATCAAATATTTGCCTTAAAAAATAACTATATTGTTTTCTGGCTGTTGGATTAAACTATTTTTTTCGAGAGTTTGAGTCATAAGTAAAAATATTTTCCATAATAATATAATTTTCAAAGTTGGCCTAAAAATCGTCATATTTTCCTTCGAATTTCGAAATTGACCGCATAGCAAACTAAATATTGAGTATAGTTAGTATGTGTATTCCAAAAAAAGTACGCAGGATAACTCTTGCCAACAGGTGCTACTTCGGACTGAGTAGGCAATTGAGAAGCAAAGTCCTCTCTCGACAAACAAAAACCAAACTCTATAAGTCACTCATAATWHCCGTCCTGCTATATGGTGCAGAGGCTTGGACGATGACAACAACTGATGAGTCGACGTTGCGAGTTTTAGAGAGAAAAGTTCTGCGAAAGATTTATGGTCCTTTGCCCGTTGGCCACGGCGAATATCGCATTCGATGGAACGATGAGCTGTTCGAGATATACGACGACATTGACATAGTTCAGCGAATTAAAAGACAGCGGCTAAGCTGGCTGGGTCATGTTGTCCGGATCGACGAAAACATTCCAGGACTGAAAGTATTCGACGCAGTACCCGCCGGGGGAAGCAGAGGGAGAGGAAGACCTCCACTCCGTTGGAAGGACCAAGTGGAGAAGGCGTTATGTAGCGAAAAGAAGAAACGACTGGTGCGCTGTTGTTAACTCGGCTATAATCGCGTAAGCGGTGTCTACGCCAATTAAGAAGAAGTTATAAGGCGTCAAAGTAGCACCTTCGAAAAATATAACTACTTTAAACTACTGGGCTAATTTTTGATATCCTTAGGAATTTTATCTAGTTTACGAAATGAGGATGTAGGAAACAATGAATAGAATTGGAAACAATTTCTTAAAGACATACACTAATTAATCAGATATTCTTCTATTAACTGAACATACGATTTTTTAAATAATCAGGCGACCCACAACCTTGACATAACGTATCGCAAAATCATAACATCTTTAACTTTTACACTTGTTTAAAAAAACTTTTGCTGGATGACATACAAAAATGAGTTAACGCAATTACAATTCTCAAAATTATGTTATCGGTACGTTATAACTTGTAACTTTATGAGACTCAAGGAACCTCCACATGTGTAACATTCAAAAAACATACCAGAAAAGACAATAGATATTGCTATGTGTAAACTTTGGCACACAACTTGTCGTAACTATTAATAAATCTTTAGGCGCCACCCGAATCCCTAGTACCTTCGCTGAGTTTGAATTTAATTTTGTGCTTCAGCGAATTATGTTTTATATCTTTGATCCACCGAAAATAGTTTCCACGGAGTAGCAATTTCAGTTTGAGAAACAAGAAAAAATCACACGCACGAAGATCCAATTGTTCCTCCACAATTCCGATTGTTTTCGACGGATGTTCTTAGGCAAAGGCCTCAATCCGGCCAAATAGAACTTCTTATCGCCTGTCCTCCGGAACAAATTCATCATGCACCAAACTACGCGTAACGAAAAAACAATGAGCATCACCTTTTTGAGCGGGTTTGGGGTGATTTTTTTAGATTTGTTTGCATGTCAAACTCTTAGAATCATTACTGATCGGAAGTTATAATGCTCTCCATGAATTTGGGATCGGAATTCGCTTCAATTGATTCAATGATTCGATCAAAAACGCATTTTATACCCAAAATATCTACCAAAATAATTTGAATGGACTCGCGAGAAATGTCGAGCTCTCTTCTTTCTCTAATATTCGTCTGTCGATTTTCAAGTACCATATCCTTTTCTAATATTTGCATCAGTTGAAGAGGTCTCATTATTTGAAATATTATTTAACCGGGGAATTTAATTACAATGCTTTAAACAAAAGCCAAAATAAAACACAGCGATTTTTTAAAAGCTTCGGGATTAATTCACGTATATTCTATACAGTCGAAAGGACATGGCTAAATCGATTCCGACGGGACTCCGAAGTCAGATTAGCTAACATTTTAAAATCAAGTGGACAAATTAAAATCCATATACAACTATTGAACTTACATACATTACTTCATAAGAGTATCTACATCCATACAAAAATTACGCCTATATTTGCATGTGTATATGCCATATTTGTGTAGCGGTGAGTATATTTTAATAAAAATTGAACATGTCGTTTGCGTCACAGGGATGAATACGCCAGTGTACGTGTAAAAGTATAAACATATGTGACGATACGTCCATTGTACATATAAATATATATATGAATAAATGAAATAATATTTGGGGCGTTTGTTTAAATATAATTATGCCAATTAGTAGTGTGCGAAGATCGGTAGGGGTTCTATTACACAATACCTTTGAAATATGAAGCAAAAAGGAATCTAACTCCAGGTGTGTGTTTGTTCATTCCTCTTTTCCTCATACAAATGTCATCCAAGTTTCAGCCACTTTCAAGACCATAAATACTATATATGGTACACTAACAACATATACAAGGAAGAGTACATGCGACTGCGCTATTGTGAACAATGTGTATCGGATCTTATTCCAATTTCACAATGCGCGCGTGGTTTCATTTCGTTATTCCGAATTTTACACTGTCGATATTTACTGAAATCTCGGGTTATTTGGTGTTAAATAGCTTATGCTGCTAGTATAGCAGTTTGTTATAATGGTACACATATCTGTATATAGTTAATCTACTTTTTGCTTCAGTCTGGAACCGAAAACGTTCGTTCATTAAAATAATATTTAAACATTGTATATAATAAATATAAAAAGTATAATGACTTCTTTCCTATGGTACACGTAGACGGAAGACGTTTATATGAGCAGATAATTACTGATAATTACTCCTTGGGAAACGATCATAATAATACTTACTTTTAATTAGAGGTAGATCTGACATAAACGCGACATTGTCATCTATACCGGGATTTTGGACATCATCAACGGCGTTCTGTAGTGCTTGATGCAAGGCTAAGGGATCATGTTCGTGAGCAAGCCTACCACCATGTGTGGCGCCTCCTGATATAGTGCTACCGTAATCTGCTCGTCTATCTGTGTACGGGAAACCATGAGACAGCTGCGCCTGGAAACAATATTTTTGAAATTTCAATTTAAGAAATGTGCGTTTCTGAATTTTTGACTTATAACTTATAGGTACATTAGAAGCATTGATAACATTTCCAAGGACTAGTGCCATTAATGCTATGATTAGCTTATTATACTATATCAACACAATATAATCTCTTTCAGTTTTTTGTCAGTTATTGTTATAACTTTTTTTCTATATATATGTAGTATACTGAAAACAGGAATACGAATTGTTGCTAAGCTACTTAAAGAAAAGCAAAAAAACAAAAAAAAAAAAAACTCTATCATCAAACTGTGTATTTTACAAACCGTTTGACCAAACTTTAACAAAATTTTCCACACAGCTTCAACCCATACATAACTTGTGATAAGTAATGACCTTTTATATATATAAATAATATCTTTATATTCTTATTTCCGATATATTTTTATATTGAGTAATTTTGAAAATAACGAATAAATTGTAAGTGCTGCCGGAAAACTGAACTTAAGAAAGCAAGCTTGAGCTACTCAACTCTCGGAAAATTTAGTGGAAAAAATTATAATCGGCGTCAAAGACTGGCAGTAAATCGCACTATGTACTAAAAAATGGAGCATGGACGCAGTTCTACCGCAGAAATTTCAATGGAGAGAATAAGAGTCAATGGAATGCAAGCCAAATAGCTTGATGCTGGTTATATTAGCGTAGACATCCCTGGACGCTGGGAGAGTAGAAACTGACTTGCAATAGGTTGATCTTGGGAATGCGAAAGCGGTCCCGGGCAAGCGAAAAAATACATGCTAGAAGAGGGAGTTATTTTATTGGTGACGCAATACGACATTTTAAAACCCCATTTACGATCTAAAATAATTTAAAACACCCAACAAGCAGTGAAGAAAATATATCAGCCGTAGCTGAGAGTGTACACGAAGATTGTGTAGAGTCCACTTTGCGCCATACGCAGCTACTGAGAGTAACGTATAAAGCGACTTGGCGCATTTTACATAGAGATCTTAAATTGAAAGCGTGCAAAATACAGTTTCTGTCTTGGTCGCCGCTCAACCTTTTCAAGCGACATCGCTTCCCTCGATGGGCTCTCGAAAAGCTCTAAAAAGACCTGACGTTTTCAGGTCAAATATTGTTCAGTGCTGAAACTCATTTCTGGCTCAATGGGTATGTAAACAGGCAAACTTACCGCATTCAATTCAATTCAAGAGCTGCTATTTCGTACWGAAATAACACAGTTTGGTGTGCTGGAATCATCGGCGCACATTTCATCAAAAATTATGCGGGCTAGAAGTAACCGTCAATGGCGACCGTTATCGCGCCATGTTAATTGATATCGCATCAATCGATGGATTTCTTGAGATCACTTCGGTAAGCAGATAATTTTACGTTTTGTGCCGGTCGATTGGCCACCATGATCGTGTGATATCACACTGATAGACTTTTTCCTGTGGTGATATGTAAAGTTTAAAGTCTATGCGGACAGTCCCGTTTGCATTCAAGCCTTACGAGTCATCTAAAATTGGACTCAACGGACGGATCATCTGAGACGTAGCCGCGGCGAACATTTGAAAGAGAGAATCTTCAAAATATAATTGCCAAAGAATGTTCTTTGGCATGATAATTAACATTCCCCATACACTTTTTCTGGGTAAAAAAATAGCGCACCTCGATTTGAATCAATTTTAATAAAACCATATTTGTTAGTTTGTTGCAAGATCGTGAGCATTACGTAAAGGTGTTGAGTTTACCACACAATGCACATTAGATTATACATTGCCTAGACACAAATCAATGTGAATGAAATTTGATTTCTCTATTTTTTATGAGTTTCGTAACGTTCTGTTTTTGGTTAAATTAAATTCATTTTCTTATTTACATATGTACACGTATATATGTTCATATTTCCTTACATATTTACACTTATGTTTGTTTGAATGTATATTTATTTCTAAGTTTTCATATTTGTAAGGGGGTATGGTAGTATTTGGTGGAGGAATTTTTCCAAAAAGTTGTAATATCAATGCTTAAGATTAAGGGTTGCTAAAAGTGAATTACCAACCAATCCCGCTTAAGTAGCTGTGATTGTTTTGTCTTTATAAGTGATGCAACGAAGTGGTCTCGAGTCGAGCAAAGTAACTTACCCCAAAGGAAATTCCGTAAATAACTTGTTAATAAGTACGAACCTTAAAATGGAGTAGGTAAAAATATTTTAACTATTTTGTTTGGAATGTTTTCTTGCAGCGCAGAATGCAGTCAACAAAAAAGTACAGCGGGGTTTATGGCATGAAAATAAGCTTCACGTCGCTGCATAAATATTTAAGAACTTACTTACTTACTATATACATATGTAAATATGTAATGAGTGATTTTTTAGACATGTGGTTTCCAAGAAGAAATAAAACTTTTATAATTTAATGTTACGCCCAAGAACTTAGCTTTATTATAAGAAAGATTTCGGGTAAGTGTCCTCCGCGGCTGGCTCGAATAAATTCCTGCCGAGAGAAACCGCTCCTCAGGAACACAAAATCATCAATTATGGCAATAGAGTCCCCATTGAGGGTAACATTCCCCCCATTGAGGGAGACATCCCCCATTGAGGGAGCCGACTTCAGTTTTGAAGAAATATGGACCAATAATTTCCCCTGTCCATAGAACACATCAAACAGTGACTTTTGATCATCTCATCAATAGGTGTTAGATTATTAACAGTGGCACTATTTGCAAATGTGGTTTCGGGGTGAGTATATTCATAGTTTAAGAAAATGCTGTCAGAAAGACCTACTTCGATAAAAGTATGGACTCATTGAATACCACACGTCTAAAAAAAATACCCTAATATAGTTGTAAGTATGGATATGTTAATGAAATTTTAAGAACTTGAGTCTATTTATCTATGCTTTTGGTTCAACACCATAAATATGTGTGATTCTTAATTTATTATACGCCCAAGTAATTTTATCTGCAGTTTAAACGTTTTGAAAAGTGGGATGCCGCCACTATATGGTTTAAGGGCCAAATGGTTTGATTAGAAATTATCTACTCTGAAAAAATATAAAGTAACATAAATATAATACAGAAATTTGCCATTTTAATTGTATTTCACAAACAAAAGAAAAAATTCTCCATTTTTGAATATAATAAGTAATGCTAAGATACCGCAGAAGTTGCAAATTGTAGCTATAAAATTGGTAATAAATCTAATCAGATCCGTAAATTTGACACGACGCGGCTTGATAGAGAACTTGATGCTTTGTAATTTCAGCTCCATTTGTGATTTGTTTGATTGTAGCATACTCCGCGGTTTATCCTCCAAGTTTATTAATGTAATAGGCATCAAATATGTAAATATTTTGCTTGTAACGCTCCGAAATCGAAGACAAAAAGCTGTGAAACATTTCGATCTCTTTATTCAGACACGCAAAAATGGCGAAAATTTCTGCGTGAGAAATTGCGAGGAATACTACAGGGTCTCAGTGTACATTCCTCTGTTGGATGCATTTCAACTGACTTTGTTACCTCCAAAAAAAAGTATGTGCTTTGAAAACCAAAAAAATGGAAACCTTTATTGACGACTTGATAGATAGAATCAAATGCCTTTTTATATAATGACAACGTCGTGTGACGTTTGAAGCTCAAAGGTGAACTTGATCACTGGTAGTGGCATTGGGGGCAGAAGCAAAAGTCAAAGGCCAACAAGTTACCGATCAGTGCATTGGATTCCAGAACTGCGATGTAGACCTATACCCTATAACTCATAGTTGTCTTCGCATATTCAGCACACTGCCTGTGACTAATGCGAGCTTTGAGCGCTCTTTTTCGACAGTATGAAAACGTGGAAAAACAAAAATGCATTAAGATAGATTGATCGGCCTAGCGTTGCTGCACACGCTTCATGACATTGAAGTCACTGCAGAGAAGTTCTCGAAAGGTTCTCAAAACTTGGCCCACATCGTTTTGTTTTGTGATATTTTTCTATTCAATACACGAATACATGAACCCGCAGGTCTACGATTTATTATGTGTTTTTTCCTTTTAGTAGGATTTGATATTAGAAGGTCGATTTGTGTATTTTCCACCTTGAGATTAATCAATTGTTTCAAGTAAATTTAACGTTGCCTCTTTGTTGGAAGCTCATTTTCGCACCGATAACACAAACATACTGACACTTAAAACGCAATAACTTCACTTCCAATCGATGAAATGTCATGAATTTCTCACTGGACAATCGATAAAGATAGCAGATTCTAACGCACCGACATATAGATGGTGCCACCAGGGGGCGCTAGATTCAATGTTTACTTTCGAACGCACCTTGTATATCGGTAAATGTGTGAGTTATTTTAATAAAATTGAGGAAGTATTTTTCTAATAACGATGCCCCTTTGTGCTAAAATGAGATAAAATCGTGTGAAAGCTTGCGCTAAAACGCATATAATTTACAAACCTTATGCGACTAAGGGTATTTCCCTGATTTTGATAGTTGTAGGTTGCAAGAGTATGAAAAGCTCGGTTTCACCCGGTCTTCGGCCTTCCTTCTTTCTTCATTCAAACTTTTATAGTTTATTCTTTGAGACTTTAAGGTTTGGAGTTCTACCTAGAACTGATGAGTTCTTCAACTATTTGTGATTTAATTTATTATTGTGACTTTTAATATATTCAGAAGGATTACCGCTGTTTGGAAAGTGTATACTTAACTGATAACCAAATATCGTTGATAAGTTAAATCACTTTGTTATAAAAGTTAGGCGTTAGCGTAAACATTCTTTCAAAGTTTATTGTGTTATATCTGTTATAAAATCATTAAGAAAATATTTGGAGAGCACTTACCACATGGCCTTGTAGCTCCGCTTCTCTATGAGATCTGTGTATACCAAGTTGATCTTGAGTTGTTCGTAAGCCTGCTAATTGGTTATAGTGGTGCAAAGGGGCATGGTGCAGTGATGATAACGGTTGTCCATATGGATCTGTACCCAAATATTCTAAAGCTCCATGGTTCTGTAAATATGCAGGTACCTAATCAATATTAGATTAATTATGTAATGCCAAATTAACTCTCATTTACTATCAGACTACCTTATTATTAACATTATTTTAATTATATAAAGTATAAAAAAATATCTATTCTCACTTCTACTGCCTGAAATATCATGTTTGTACTAAGTAATAATAAATATAACATTAATTTACACTTTGGTATAATATAGTTAGACAACAACAATGCATATGTAAATTATAAGTATAACTATTTATATAAATTTTAAAAACATTTTCTATATACTTAACAGGGTATATTAAGTTTGCCATGAAGCTTGTAACATCCGAAAGGAAACGTCGGAGAACTTATCTAGTACTTAGTCTTACTATAAATTCTGTTACAAGTCTAGACCGTTGAACTTGAAACTAGAATACGTTTTTATTAATGTTAATTTAATTTAATAATGTGGACATTAAATGAGCGGAGTACAATTTTGCTTGAAGTGATCACATCTTCTTTTCATATAAGCTCTCAAACGATTCGGCCATTAATCAATATCAGCACCCACCATTTCTATTGGTTATTATAACCGAAGCTTTTCGAACCAAAGATGTTTTAATACTCTTCAAATTTCACTGAGAGGTTTGAAAGGCCATTTTCTCCAACTCTGACCACAGACTGTAGTTCAATGGATTTAACTGTGATCATCCAGCCGGCCAATTAGTTATGAAGCCAGGAATATTACTTTTTAGCTACTACTAAGTGATTTTTGCCTTAAGTGCTGGAGTTGAACCTTGCTGGACGATCCAATACTTTTCATCGAAAAGATGATTTACCACGCCTTTTGAACCATCTAGCTGGCACACTTTTGACCCAATTTGAACACCTTCGCGGAAGTGAAGAAGCGTAACGACTTTATGGAAGACTCCTCCTAAACCATTACAGTAGCTGAATAGCGGTCATGTTGAACATTTGGAATGACAGTTATTGCGTCTTTGGAAGTTTTTGCGTAAATTTTGTAGTTTTTCTTATTAAAAACATCTTAAACAGTGAACTTTTTTGCATAGCCGTTGACCGCGGGCCACTGAACAATCGCAGTCAAGCGGTTGTATGGAGAAATTTTTTATTTAAGAAAATATCTTCATGAAATTTGGCACGCAATATTATCTAAGGCAATAGTACAAGTTCCAAAGAAATTGTTCCGATCGGATCATGATGAGTCTTGAACATAATTTTCACTTTTCTGAAAATGTGCACACAAACAGTTTTTATGGCTGAATTGGTTTAAACTATGCGAGGACGACCAGTCATCTTTCTGACATTAACTCTTGACGTTTGGGGAAATGATCAATATTGCGGTAAATAAATATTCTTCGAAATTCCAAGTTTTTTTCTAGAATATCACAAAAACTCATAGAACACCCTAACGGTAGCTGCCCTTCAAATTGATCGATAAAATTCAAGTCCTTGCAATGAAAAGTTTTTTATACACCTGTGATAATACTCTTCATTGCCTCTGACAGCAATGTTAAACATTATGTGAATGGAAACATACATTGTGACAAAACGCATCAGAAAATTGTAAATAAAACGCAATATATTTAATTATTCATCAATATTTATTTCGTTTCCTTCAAAGTAGTCCCCAACAGTTTTAATACACTTGTGCCAATGATTTTTTCAGCCCTCGAAATACTTTTCATAAGCACTTTTTGTGATAGCCTTCAGCTCTTTCAACAAATTTTGTTACATCTCTTCGATCGAATGAAAATGGGTTCCACGGAGCGGCAATTTCAGTTTGGAGTACAAGAAAAAACACATGGAACCAGATCTGGTGAATACGGTGGTTGATCGACGATATTCATTGCGTTTTTGGCTTTAAATTCGGTGGCAATCATGGCTCGATACGAAAAACATTCAGCTTTATCGGGATGAGTCGAGCAAGAACGCGTTTCGGGTCGAAGATCGTTCAGAACGAAGCATGTCTTCAACGAACTCTCAACCGTCTTTGAAGAATTTGTACCATGCATATGCTTGTGTTTTTTGAATCAGCGTAAGCTTTTTGCAAACATTCGCTAGAAATATAAAATTTGAGAAAAATCCTTTCTTCGATATTTTAATCCATTGTAAAAATCGCGACGCACCGCTGAGGTGTACCGACTTAAGCAGCTGCTGTAAACAAACTTGTTGACAGATCGCGCTCATATTTGACATAGTTATTAAGGAATTTAGCAAAATACCTTTTTTTGAAATATTATTTACCCGGAGGATTGCATTTTATAAAGAGAAATCTAGTTATGTTTTGGATATTGCTAATAAAAGCTCATTTGCATAAGTGTTTTACAGATTGCTATATATAATACATATAGCATATATTTTATCATAAGATTTAAGTGATGGATTTCGTGGACCCAATTCTTACTTTTATTATGTTATCGGTGTATATTTGTTTATTAAATGTCACAGGGTTTTATAGAAATTAATAGAAAAGGGCGACGCCACCCTTCTTTAGATGAAAATCCTATGACTCAGAAACTAGTCGAACATTCTTATATTATGGTCTGAAAATGGACGAAATCGAACTATAACCACTCTTATTTCCCTCAAGTCACAATTTTAATTTTAATCTGGTTCTCTCACCTCAATCATCAGTAAGCATATTGGAATATAACTTTGCAAAAATAGTTTTCTCAAGGTATTGTATCTTACTTTTCAAAATTGTCAAAAACCGATGTAACTTCTCTAACTCTAGATATCGGATATATACTTATCGTTGATTTTAGACTCATAGCCAGGATATAGTTTCAGTATAGGCCCAAAACTTGGGGGAGGGAAAATCGCTAGGTCATAAAAAGTAAAGAATTAAAAAACTGTCAAGATAATACGACTGAATATTTAGCTTGGATCCAGCCATTGCATATTCACCCAAAACCTAGCGATATAATATTGCCTAAACTTTATTTTATCTCCGGTTGAACAAAAATTTCAAAATATATTTTGATGTGTACGCATTTCTTTAACTAACAGATTCCAAAATAATTTTTGTCTTTATTCTAATGGTAAAATTTATGTACCTCTTGATAAAATGAAAAAAAAAAAAGAAAAACAATAGCACTCTTTGACCTATACCACAATAGGATTAAAATTATAATGTTTTACTTTAATGAAAATATATGCAGGTTTAATGAACGACCAAAAGTTCAAATCTTTTAATCCGTTGTTCTTCGAAAGACATTAGCATAACCTTTATGACAGTCTGTACTGTATTTCTACACACCATCTAGATTCTACGCACTACCAGTACTTTGTATTTTGTTATTTTAAAATTAAGAAAAAACGAAGTTTGTTCATGCTGTCTTTGTATTGTGAATTTTAATTCATTACCAAAATCGTGTAACTTCAGAATGAATAACAGAGGAGTTCTCCACATCCGGAATAGCCTCCATAAGCGTAGCGATTCACGTTTAATATTTTCAATTGACTCAAAACGGTTTCCCCAGAGCAGAAGATAGAAAATTTTGCGAAAAACTCACGAAGAATCAATGCAGCATGCGACGGTGTATTATCGTGGTGCAAAAATCAAGAGTTGTTGGCTCATAATTTATATTTTTACGAATAGCTTCGTGCAAACGACACAAATCTCACTCGGATTGAATTCGGAGTGTACCACACCTCGATAATCAGAGAAAACGGTCAACATAACCTTGATTTCTGACATGCTTTGAGGTGGTTTTTTCGGATCGGCTCCCCTTTGCCACGATATTAGGTCGATTGATCGTCTGTTTACGTGTCGTAAGCATAAAGCAATAATACGTTTCATGACATCAAGGTAATCGGAAAGCAATGTTTCACAAACTCGGACACGATACTGTTTTTCAAACAAATTTTGTGGTTTTGGAATCAATCGTGCTTTCACTTTTCTTTGGCCCAAATGATCTTTGAAAATGGTTTTCGCTGATACCTCCGATATTCCAACGGTGCCAGTAAGACCGTTAATCGTCTATTCTCAAGCACAAATTCCTTTATTTTATTGACTTCTTGATCATCAGTTGACGTTGGCGGCCATCCTGAACGTGGTTTGTGTCTACGGGTTCGCGATCCTCTTTGAATAATTTTTATCAAACAAAACACTTCCTCGTGATAAACAAGTATCACCGAAAGACATTTCCAACATTCCAACCGCACACTAAATTTAATGGAACTTCTTTGTTGAATAATTTTACTCATCGTAAAAATCGCCGAATGCGCTTTATGTACTTCAGTTACACAAGCGTATACGAGTACTAATAATTATTTTGATATGACATTTGACACAGAGGTCACTGAGGGTCATACCAACCTAGAAAATAATATTTAGACGAATGGATTTTAGCGCGAAATTAAATGAAAAATCCTACTATCTTTTGCTCACTGCAATACAAATCGAGAAAGAATAATGATAATCAATTCCTGATAATATTGTTGCTTTGCCACTGCTATATATGGTGGTTTTGGAAATTCTGGTTGATTTTAAATCGTTTAGTAAATATATACCTCACATAAGAATTAAACATTTTTGGTTTCATAGTAGAAATATCGCCCAGTAAGTAAGATACCATAGAAACATCAAATGAACGTATAATCTGAGGTTCTTTATAACCCCTTATGCGGGGTAAATTGTGAAATTTTGTTAAGAACTTTCCTTCGGTCCAATATACTCGATAAGTGATATTCAACTTTCTAGCCGAATTTAAACTGTTTACGTTGGCCAATGCGCGTGATATTTTAATGAAAACGTAAACATGTTTTCTTAAACTCAATGAAATCTGATCTTGGTCTCAACCTCATGTCCCTAATATATTAAATTTCAATTTTTTTGGTGGACTTTTTCCTCATATACCCAATATAATCAATTTAGCCCCGTTGATTGACTTTAATTAATTATTCAATGTAGTATTGAAAGTAATGGAGTTTTTACCTGTAACATAAGTTCACGAATTCTTCGAATAACCATTTTAATTACCTGAAAATATATCACTTATCTTTGATCCTCAATGCGAGAGTATATCTGTTCGGTTATACTCGAATTTCAAAATTATGTGATGTTTACTCAATTGGATCGTGATACGATCTGTTCTCAAATTGTTTGGATCAGTGAGTCCTTTATTAGGTAAGAACTTCCTTTGCAGGAAAAAATAATACAATAAGAAATCCTTTGTAATAAAATTGCGCAACTTTTTATACATACGTAATGCCAATTTTTCTTGGTTTATTTCAACTACTTAATTGGTAATATGACCTTTGTTTTAGATAATACCATTGGTTCAAATGTTTTTTTGGAAAAATTTTCTTTAGATATAAGTTCATGCGCTGTCGCAAGATTCTTTTGACCCAAGATCTATCGGCAGATATCCAGAGAGCTCTTTACCCTCAGTAAGACTAACTTCTTCTTAGTTGGGGGGTTCTTACAGGACATTGCCCTATCGATACATCTCAACACTTCATTATTAATTATCCCGCGTTTTCGAGGGTAAGGCTTAAACACTTGGGAGCTCACACTTTCAGATATACTATCGTGCTTGGGAGTAGAAATAAAACGCCTTAGCAAAACTCTATAGGCCTCAAGGCCAACTTATCCGACTATGAGATCGGTTGCTGGAGTTCTGTTTCCATGGCTTCACAGAGGACTGCGAATAGTATTATGGTTCAAGTGCGATCCATTGATCAGCCATCGATTGACGTCTCATAACCATATTCGAAATATTCTTGGTGAATTTTTATAAGATAACTTGCGCTAATAATTCTGAATGTATACGAATGGAATAATGAGGACCGGAGGGGAGGGTATCAAACTCTTTTCAACATCTTATCATTATGAGCTTATGTTTTGTCTATCTCTCTTAATTAATGTTCAGGTGAAAAAACTCTATATTGTGCAACTGATTGTGAGAATAAAAAAAAAATACCTTAAACTGATTTGGTTACTGAAAGTTATTAATCAGTATATACATATGTATAGCTATAAATAATAATGCTAATAATAATAATATAAACGTATATAATAAATTATTATGCCAGCTTTATCAGTGGTTATCAAAATTAAGAACTAAAATTACAGTTACATGTATTACCTGTTGTTGGGGCGGACTTTGAGTTGAATGATGAAACGGTGGAGGAAAGTAGGGCGGTTGGAAATCTGATTGAAGAGATTGGTGATGCATTGTTGCTGCAGATCCGTGAGTACTGCCATGGCTACCGTGTCCAGAAGAAGGTCCTCCACGGCCACTGTGGCCACCCGTGTGTGTAGTATAAGCAGGACTACTGCTTGATAACCCCAAGCTGCCATGACTAGTGAGGCGTTCCTGAAAAAAGTTTTAATTAGTGTTATAGTACTCGTATGTTGAAATATTTGTTTCATGTAATAAAAATATTTTATACAAAGTATGATGTATTTATTCCCAAGTATAAAAACTCATTAGCAGTTAGAGTCGGCTTTAAAAGATCTTAAGATTTTCGGATAATGACACCTATGTATGTATGTATACATAGCTATGTGCTATGGGGTGATCCAATACCCTTTTTTGAGATATCACACGTGGGTCATGTTAAGTAGTCATATTATTTTTGTTCAGTATTGTTGGGCATTTCGTCGTGAAAAAACTTACTTCTGAACAACGTCCTGTAAAGAATGTATTTTTCGTGATTTGCTCAACTTATGATCAATATAATCAGCGTATTGAGCGTACTAGTCCCACCCCCATCAATCTTGAGACACAGCATTTATTATTGGATTCGACTAAATAGTCCACGTCCGACACCAAGTAAAGAAGCAGCAGTTGAGAGTGTACTCGAAGACCATGGAGAGTCAATTCGGCGTCGTTCGCAACAACTCGGACTGACGTATGGAACGGCTTGGCACATTTTACGTCCAGATCTTTACATTGAAAGCGTACAAAATACAGCTTGTGCAAAAACTGAAGCTGCTCATCCTTCCGAAATCACATGGCTTCGACATATTCGAGCAAATTTCGTTCAGCGATGAGCCCATTTCTGGCTCAGTGGTCAAGCGGAATTGCCACATTTGGGACGAAGAGCAAGTTGAAGATATTCAAGAACTGTCATTTCATCCAGAAAAAACTACAGCTTTACGTATTTTGTGTGCCGGTGAAATCATCGGTTCATATTTCTTCATGATGATGCCGATGAGAACGTAACTGTCAATGACGACCGTTACCGCACCATGTGATCCGACGATTTGATGCCTGAATTTGAAGCTCGTAATTTCGGCGACATGGGGTTTCAACAAGATGGCGTTACTTACAAACATATCGTATTAAATAATGGATTTATTGAGAGAACACTTCGGTGAGCAGATAATTTCACGTGGACAATTCCGCCTCGATTTAGGCCAATTGTTAAATTAACTTATATTTCTCTTATATCACGGTACATTATGTGTCTATTATAAATATGAAAATTTAATGGTCAAAAAACTAAACTTTTTCTTGAATTCAAAATGGAAATTCAATCGTATGTAAAATTAAAATCAGCTTTAGGTCATAATTTTATGTAGAGCATTGGTTCAAAAAGAAAATTTAACATTTAATTTCTACTTGAAGAATTCTAATGAATGCGAAAACCGTTTCTAGTCATGTGATGTTACCAAAATAACAAAAAAATGTATGTTATTGCTTTCCTCCTTTTTTACATAAAAAAAAAAACATTATTATAATGGCTGTAAGCTTATGAAAATTGATGTTACGTTATTTTGCATTTTAGGTGGTGATTAATATTTAGTTTTTAAGTTATATTGCATCAATCATTGTTCGCTTGACTTCTTTTGTTATCAAATCAAAGATTGAAAAGTGAAGAATACTCCGCCAATATTTATAATTGTAACTATATTATTACTTTATAATTTAAATTAGAAGCTACCACTTTGTAAGTGTGAACGTCTTATTTATTATATATGACTTAAGCGAAATCGAAATTATTGGCTGAAATCATCTGTACAGGATAGTTATCATATTATCTATCCATATTGGAGAGCAAGCAGCAGAGACGGGTGCTAATTTTTTTTCGCCTAATAGATAAAGAGATTTTGTAAAATTCTAATTTGTCCCATGATTTTAAATAAATATGATTTCTTGCAGTTTTGTACGGTTAAATGTTTCCGTTATTTATAACCATAAATTTAGATATAAATGTAATTATTTATTTTATTTTTTAATAGTTTTACCTGCGCATTTATAACTGTGGGCATGTCGATATAGGCTAAAGTCATATTCACATTTTTTATTTTGAATGCAGAAACTTAATTCAACACGTTTCTTTAGTATTTTTTAGCATGTATATTTTGCTATTGGCACTTAATAAAAAACATTTGCATAAATATGCGATATAAGCTTTATGGATTAATAATTTAATAATATTTTGCTCATAGCCACATTAAATTCTCACACTTATCTCGAGTTACAATAACAAGCACATTAATTGTATAGACCTAATTCTTCGTACAGGAGGAAATAATGCGACACGATTCCACCTTCACGCATTACGCGGCAACTGCGAATAAGAGTGCGTTAAAAATATTTGCCTTCTTACACCGCTTAGCAATGAAACAGGCCAAAGTTGCCCAAACGACGCAAACGCGTATTTTGCATTTGAAAAAAAAAAAAAAAAAATCAGCAACCTATTCTACGTTATAGCAAAATGTAATGATAGCAGCGTGGTACAAGAACCATGGAAGAATGGTGAGTTGTGAGTACGCGCAACACACATACAGCGGTACAAGACGGCTTGTCTGCTTATCCCGGCAGCACTGGCTTGCCAACGACCAGAGTCCCAGCTCGTTTGGCGCAATAGTTCGCAGCGTTCATCCACTCGTAATATTCGGGTGTTTCGTGTTGAAATTTAACTACCATTAGCTACTAACTGCGTGCGCTGCTACGTGTAACGCGAAAGAGCGGCAAATGTGAATAGAGCACACTCGTACACAAATACATTTCGTGAGTTTTATTATATGTACAATAACACATACATATGTATGTACATATTACTTTGCTACCGTACGGAGATAAAGTGACAAGCAGTAACAAAATGATTCGATATCATTAAACAAATTCGTCAATTTCTCCCGAGGTTAAGCACATAATCCAAATTTTTATTGCTAATATACATAAGCATAAGTATATCGCAGGCGTAATTATATTTATAACCATAAATAATCAATAACGGGGCAAGATTGATCATGAATTGTTTGAAGGTCAGAGGCTAAAGTATTGTGCTACGAGCAGATCTCAGTCTCCGAGTTAGAGCGCTAAGGTTAAAAATTCGGATAAGATTATATTTATTTTAATCTGGATATTAAATGAGATAATATGAATAGTGTGTATATATGTATGTAAGTACGTATGTTTGGTGAAATTCCTCATAAACGGACACACACCGATGCAGTGTTTTTGTCCGGCTAAGGGACAATTCGTATATGGGGCTGTGACAAAGGTTGGGATAAGTTATTCTGGTGGGCCAATGAGCCACTCATAGGCCAAGCTTCGACCTTTGCGATTCCAGATGGAGTTCAGTTACTAGTTCCATGAGGAGTAGTCAATCTTTAGGATGCCTGCGAACTTTAACAGACTCTGTGGTCTCACTATCGATACCTCCTGCAATGTACCATACTGTGTGGAACCCAAAGCGTACAGCGTATTCTTTCCAATTCAAAACAAGTGAACAAGAGATGCACTATAGTTTTCCTAGTGACTTGCTCTAGACGTTTGCCGCCTTTTGGAACTTATGTACTTTCCGCTTATAGGAATTGCTTTTGTATGTAATAATAAAAAAGTTGAGTTCATGCAATTCGTCCAGTTATGGGGGATGCCCGGCTATGAAGACTGTTCGTAATGGGTTCATTGATCTCAGCATTTTAATAAGTTTAAGATAATAGGGAACTGTTTACCAGTTTTTAACCATTTTCCGCACAATGGCACATTGCTATCTGGAAAAAATATTTGCGTAATCTTTTATGATGTTTCCACTGGCAACTAATTTCTATATTTCAAAGTGAATGAATCGGTTGAATTGAAAATTGTGTTTTGTGAAAACTAGGCGTCGTGTTAGTCTGATTTTACTCTTTTTCACAGCGTTATGTGAGAATGTTAGGATAATGTTAAGCAAAGAATTTCGTTGATATTGATTGAGTAGTTCATGAGATATTAATTTTCACCGAAAAGTTAGAATCCATTCTGTAGTGTCACTGGTGTGAAGTGTAATGTTTTTGGCGTATTTAATAGGGCAATTGAAAAGTCTCTACCATAACAAAAAACATTTTGTAGGCAAAATTTGCTTTTATATTCAAGGCTGATACACTAATTACACCGACCATCCTACTTTTTGATATAATTTTTGCAGTACTATTTGTATTTTGTTTCAAAATAGTCCAAAGTTTTGCGATGATTATAAAATAATGAATGTGGAAGGAATTCTAAGTCCAATTCATAGATTTTTGCCACCATTTTCACCAACTTGTGATACGAAGCATTTTCTTGGCGAAACAGTACTTTCCTCTCCTTCAAATGTCGACGATTTCGCCCTTTTCAAACGGTGCAATAACACAATCTACTTTTCGCTCTTGATGGTTCTTCCTTTCAAGGTAATCAATAAAAATTATTCCATGCGCATCCCAAAATACATACGCCATAACCTTTCCAGCCGTCTTCTATGTTTTCCACGCTTTAGAGCGGGTATCGTGTGCAGTTCACTCGGATGACTGTCGACTAGATTTCGGAGGGAACTGATGGAACCAAGTTTTATCTATGTATTACGCTTGAACATCTCCAAACACTGTTCCGAATCATCAACACGTCGTTGTTTTTGGTCAAACGGAAGCTGGCGCGGCACCCACTTTGCACAGGGCTTTCTCATACCTAAATATTCGTTAATGGTGTCACGAGCATTGTTCAGTTGATATCTTTAGAGTGCCTGTTATCTCGAAAATTTTCACTGTACGATCATCCAAGTTATTTTCAGGAATGTTTTTGATGTTTTCGATGTTTTCGTTGGTAACAGCCACTTTTGGACGCTCAATGCGTTCAATAACTCTTTATCAAGCCAAATTCTTTCACCAACTGTACTTTTTCAAAAAGCAATATTTTGTCAACACTTGAAATTCCCTTTTACAAATTTTTTCACAGTAACAAAAGTTTATCATTCAAATGATATAATTCACACATTAATGATGCGGCAGCTGTTAAATTTATACACGGGCCTTTTGAAAGTTAGTTACCTAAAAACAATATCGATTCAATTCTGGTAGCACCATACGGCGAGATACTTTTCGATTGACCTGTTATTTTGTGAGTTA